ATGTCTAGAGCTCATAGTTCGTAACTAACAGTGTTCATTTCGTGTTGTGTATTCAAGGATATTGAAGAAACTTTGTTGTGCGGAAAAACTGTTTGGTAAAGGCAGACAAAGTTATGGAGCTCAGTTTAGTGTCCAGCGACTATAGTAAGGAGTTTTAGAAAACCAACGTTTCTGACGTTAGTATTCTTCTTATCGTATCGATGGCATACACTGTAATGATTGCCATTGTGATGGAAGGATGTGCCAATCGGCGTAAGGCACTCGACGATCGTTGCCCAGAGTGCGCCCATCTGGCACTCCCTGATTCAGAAAAAGATTGGTAAGTCGTGCGGAGAGGCTCCGTTTATGCACTTCACTTCTAATAACGTCAAGAAAATAAATAGTTGTTTACAATATTTTGCATTGATGTTCACGTATATGTGGAGATGATTGAGTAGAATAAGGAAGTGTAAGTTTCATACTTATATGATTGCAATATATCCAGGGGTATATCCTCGACATAATGCTGCGAAATTGCGCGGAGTTGAACCAGTAGCCACGGTTTCAGTATAAATATAATGTTATAGTGATGACACCTTACTTGAAAGGGAGTTGATACTTGACAGGGTGCAAGTTTGAAACTAGGCAGAGGCCACTGGATTTTTTCAATATCCTATGTGGTGTGTATTTTTACGACAATATTTGGAAAATTTGAAAAATCTGAACTTGAATCAGAAAATATGTTGATTTCGACCGCATATTTCTGATTATTTTGTCACAAGTTATTTGATTGATTGATTTAAGAATGTAACATAAATTCACCAATGTTAAAAACATGCTCCAAAAATCCAAGGAAGATGAGTTTAGTTGTACTTTTTAACCGACTTCGAAAAAAGGAGGAGGTTCTCCATTCGACTGTATATATTTTTTTTGTATGTATGTTACGCGATAACTCCGGTATTTGTGAACCGATTTTCATGATTCTTTTTTTGTTACAAAGAGGGTACCTCCATAGTGGTCCAATTTCATTTTGAAGAAAATCATTCCCTCTAAGGGTGGCTGTTCACGCATGAAGATTCATATTTATAAATAACGCCTAAATTTTACTAAACGAGCAATTATTTTAGTGGTTGGTTTTGCTATTCTGCAATTCAAGGCATTTTTCTCTCAATATGCTTTGAGTAGTGAGAACCGATTTTTATTATCTCCAGTGTCAAGTCCTGAACAGTGGCGAACTAGGCGATATTTCATTAAAACTTAGCAAACAGATGTAATTCCACGTACTTTTGAGGTCGGCTGTTTTAGTACTCTGTACTGAGATTATCAAAAAGATTTTTAAGAAGTAGTTTTTTTTTATAAAATAAGTATACTTTGACTTGATATGTTGCTGACTGTGTACTTGGTTATAAATAAGTTTTTTAAATAATTTTAACACATTTGCTCTACATAAAAAATACCTAGGTCCTTTAATTTACATGTAGTACTCCCTCTCACGCAACATGTGGCATTCGCACCAACTTTTGTAAATTCAGGTGTATTTGTAACGTAGCACATTTTTTGCGCTTTCCTGCGTTTCGGTATAACAAAAGAAAAATTGTGGAAATATTATACTCACTCGCTATTAAGACAATATCACGTTTGACCGTTGACCTATTAGGTATTTGTTCGAAATATAACCGTGACACTCTCATCTGCAGCGCTTGCGTTGTTTCAGTGTTGAAGCCAGTGTGCGATGTGTGCACTCACTACTTTCCTTCATATTACGTATACCGCGCAGTAGTGTTGAAAGAAGCGTAATTTTGTGAGACCTCGTCGCACTGATTTTCCAATTGAACACAATTTTATGACGTGAATAGTCTCGTTATAACTTGTTTTTAGAAACAGCAAATCTATTCTAGGACTGACGTACTTCTATACTCACCGCTCAATTAAGAGCAGAATGCTCGTATAGGCAAGTCAACCAAATTGTATTTATATTCAAAATGGACATACAGTTACACAAGTTTCTATTGTATTTCGTGAATTAATTAATAATTAATAGACTCAGTCGTTATTTTGCGGAAGTCCATGTTAATAAAAATGGAAGTAAATTAATTTGCTACTCCGCGACCCCAGTGATGGTTAAATCGTGTGAAGTAGCTACGCTTGTGTTGAATGTTTTTTTCTAGAACAGATGGGAGTAAGTAGGTACAACAACAGGGGTTGTATAATAAATGAATAATTGAATTTTGCATCACCACCTTTATTGCGGGTATTTTCGGATTTCAATCATAGTAGTAGCGAGGGTAGCAGGGTATAAGTATACCAACCGTTCTGAATGAACTCATTCTTCGGCCGAGCGTCGAGCAATCAACAGCCCCTGAGGAAGCCTCGTGGACCGGCCAAACACGTGTCGGGCATATTTTTGGTGGTGGTTAGTGACTGTAGTTGCGCTTGTGTTATTTATTTTATTAATTTTATGCGGAGGGAGGGTGGAAAAATTAACTGCATCAACAAATATTCAACACAAGTGCAGCTATTTTCATCTCTCCCCTCGGATACCGCTTTGAACGGTCGTGTCTATTGCTGCCTCCTTAAAATTGTTTTTAATATTAATTGTTTTCTATTATTTCACTTTTATATTCTTGAAGTACCAGGACAGCAGCAATTCAAAGTGTTAACTTAAAAGTGTCGTGTGAAAGAGAAGTCTTAGTGAGTGAGCAATCAGTGTAAAAATCACTTCTAATAGTGAATGACGTCAAAATAACTCGTCTATTATTGGCTATTAATTGACCTGCCCACCTCGCGCAAGTGCATCGTATTGTGGGTGTCATCGGCTGTCATCTACCTGTCTCTTGCGGATCATCGTGCGTTCCCTTTTCGTGCATAAAACAAGTTTTGCCGACGGAAAACTTCCGTGCGACAAATAGGCCTACACTCTTAACTAATTATATATTTTTTTACGATAACGCTGGGAGTTTCTTACTCCAATTAACATGTCGCTCCGCAGGACACCACCAAAAGGACGATCTGGTTTACCAGAGCTAGAAAGAAGCCTCTCACTTTCTACCCCTAATATTACTGAAACTTCGTCTATTTCAACCCGACCTCTGAAGAGAAAGCAGGGGGATGAGCTCGAAGATATTTTCCACAGGATGGAAGACATGTTCAGAACTATGCGAGATGAGCAAAACAGTAAATTAGATGCGGCATTATCTAAAATAACCGAGCAACATAAAGAGCTGACTAAATCTATTTCTTTTATATCAGAACAGTATGAGGATATGAAGTCAACAATTGAAACTTTACTAAAAGAAAAAACTAACAACCTAAGTTATATACAAACACTTGAAGGAAAGATTGAATATCTGGAGAAGAAGACTCGTTCTACATCCGTGGAATTGCGTAATATTCCAATTGTAAACAACGAAAACACTTCAGTGTTATGTGATACGATTGTCAAGATAGGGAAAATAGTCAAGATTCCCCTACAGCAATCAGATATTAAAAATGTTTACCGAATTAACAAAAGAAATGACAACAAACCTGTAATTGTGGAATTTATTTCTGATATTGTAAAAAGTAATTTCTTACGCTCGACGAAGTATAGTAAGAAAACAGACAAAAATTCGCTGACCTCAACTGCACTAGGTATTGATGGCCCTGTGAAACAAATTTATATATCGGAATTTTTGACATCTAAAGCTAACAGATTGTTTTTTCTGGCGAGGGACTATGCGAACTCGCATGCTTTTGAATATGTATGGACGGCGTATGGAAATATCTATTTACGGAAAAAACAAGGTGATTCCGCTATTCGTATCAATAACGAAGACGACCTAAAGAAGTTAACATCTAAGTGACTATCTCTGTATGCATTGAAGTACGTGCGTTCGCTGTTCCACAAATTAAGCTTTATATATATACCACTACAATGTTCAATGCAATTTTATTATGTATATGCCATCAGTCATTACTATTTTTGGCACAACAATAATTCTATATACACTTTACATACAAATACACCATTTTTCACTTCCATAAACACATACACCAAGCTTACAAATATATACACAGTGCCTATATACACATACTGCCTAAATACACGCGTACAACATCGTATACCTACTACTACACTTCTAACTTGTACGATACACTTTATTTACTTATCACAGCAGCATTTTATTATTTCAATTTTTTTCACACAATATAAAAGTCATGTCAGTAAGCGATTTAATTAAAAATATAGATCAGTTTGATATTTCTGTACCTATTTCGTGTCCTCCAGAACAATGTCACACGCATCTTGACCATTCTAAAAATTACCTAAAAATTATTCAGCAAAATATACGCAGCATAAATTGTAATTATGACGAACTAACCTTACTTTTATCTAGAATGAAATTACAATGTGACATAATTGTTTTATCTGAATGTTGGCTATCTTCACTTGTCGCCTCGCCTGAAATGACAGGGTATACTTACTATAAAACTCATGATAATTATAATCAGAATGATGGTTTGATGATGTTTGTAAAAAGCCAGCTAAGTTACACAATAGAAGAGCCAAGTCTGTCGGAAGCAAATTGTCTTTTATTAAAGTTAGGAACAGAAACTGCAGTGGTCGGTATTTATAGACCTCCCTGCTTTAAAAATATCATACCTTTTTTGCATTCTTTTCACCTTCTACTTGAAAGTATCTCAATCTTCACAAATATAGTTATTGTTGGGGATATTAATATAAATTTGCTCAGTGTTGATGCCGAAACAGCATCATACCTGGATATAGTATCTTATCATGGTCTCCTTCCAGCTATTAATACCTCGACCCGAGAAAACAACTGTTTAGATCATGTAATATTGAAAACAAAACTTCCTGCTATTACTTTTAACTTACAAACAACTGTAACAGATCACACTGCTGTTCTATTTTGTCTTAAAGTAAGAAAAATATCTACACTGTCTAACAACAAAACATCGTGTAAAATTAACATGGAAGGTATTGTCATGGAGTGTGCAAATACGAATTACAATCAATTATTCTCTGAAAATAATTTAAATAGGGCCACTAATCTATTTATTGAAACTACTATGCGTATTATTAAAAATAATAGTCAGCTAATTAGAGCTCCTAGAAGTAAATTCATCATAAAACCTTGGATTACCCTCGGCTTATTAAGATGTATTAGAAATAGAGATTTGATGCACAGTAAACAAAGACTACTCCCCAATAATGAAACTCTTAAGGTTACATACAAGAGGTATAGAAATTTTTGTAATAAACTTCTCAAAAAACTAAAACAACAATATGAACGTGACCAACTCAACATGGTTAAAAACAACTCTAAAAAACTATGGACCACAATAAAATTAGTTACAAATTTAAATAAACAAAAAGAATGTCCACATGAACTCCTAGCATCCGGAAATTCACCTATATCCTCCACTGATGTAACTAACCATTTTTTCGCCAGTGTAGGTAAACACCTTGCCGAAAGTATCCCACGTAATATTACCCCTTTTGAAAATCTTTGGTCTACCTCTAGCACACTACCAAACTCGTTTGTTTTTCTTGAAACCGATTGTGAAGAGATTGAGCGAGAGATTACTAATCTTAAAACAGACTGCTCTCCAGGCTGGGATGGTATCTCGTCTAAGATTTTAAAACAGATCTCACCTTTTATTACTCCTGTTCTTACCAACATTATAAACCGCTGTATTAGTACAGGCACATTTCCCGAAGCTTTTAAAAAATCCATTGTCCATCCAATTTATAAGGCCGGAGATAAACACTGCGCCAATAACTACAGGCCTATTTCTATACTTACCTCTCTCTCTAAAGTATTTGAGCGCATTATCAACAAGAGACTTGTCGGCTTCCTGGAAACCAATAGCATTCTTGCTAGATCACAGTACGGTTTCAGAAAGCACAAATCCACGGATGATGCCGTCCATGATTTCACAGACTTTTTAGTTAAAAAGATGGATAAGGGAAAGAAGTGTATTTCTGTATTTATTGATCTCGCGAAAGCCTTCGATACCGTTTCTGTTACGAATCTCATAGAGAAGCTTAACAGAATCGGTATCAGGGGCACTCAGCTAAAATTATTTACAGATTACCTATCTAATCGAAAACAGCGAGTCAAAATTGGTGACTACCTAAGTGATGAACTTCCCATCACATATGGCGTTCCTCAAGGCAGCATTGTTGGTCCAACCCTCTTTTTATGCTATATAAATGAACTCTGTCAGGTCCAAATACCAAACTGTAACATAATCGCATATGCGGATGATACAACTCTTACATTTTATGGTGATTCTTGGGAAGATGTATTTTCACTGGCACAGAAAGGCTTTGATATCGTTAATCACTGGCTAGCAGCAAACTCGTTGACGCTGAATACAGACAAAACGAAATACGTACCATTTTGTATTCGAAATACTACTTCTAATTCTTGCTTAGATTTTGATTTGTATGCCCATAAATGCTCCTTTCCTCCAACCGCTACCTGTAGCTGTGATAAGATTGAAAGAACACAAAATATCCGTTACCTTGGAATTATCATTGACCAAAATCTCTCCTTCTACCCGCATATACAGAGTTTGTCTCAAAAAATTCGGAAGCTAATCTTTGTCTTCAAACACCTAAGGCATATTGCTGATTTCAAAGTTTTAAGAAATGTATATCTGGCGTTGGCGCAGTCATTACTAACCTACTGTATTACCTCTTGGGGTGGTGCTGCTAAAAATAAGCTAATTATATTGGAACGAGCTCAAAGATGTTTATTAAAGGTTGCACTGTGCAAATCTCGACTTTTTCCTACATCCCAACTATACCTAGAAGCGAATGTGCTAACAGTGCGTCAACTGTACCTGCTAACAACGTTAATTCGTCAACACGCAATTACTCCTCCATCCAGAGCTCCTTCCGTATCTGACAACCGTAGACTTTTCACTAGTTGTGATCACAATAGGGCCAATACTTCATTTGCCCAAAAATTCTTCCACTTTAGAGCCAGTCGACTATACAATGTTTTCAATAAAAAGCTTAATATTGTACTCCTCTGTAAGCAGGAAGTAAAACATGCAATCACAAAATATTTATTAAAATGTACGTACGACGAAACTGAAAAATTTCTTTTAATTCAAACCTAGCACATAAGGTGGTATACAAAATTCATACATAAACAAGCACGCGCAGAGACACTTCGACGTAATATCACGCAGGTACACACATTCATCACACTACCCCACACACACACACGCACACACACACACACACACGCATGCATACACATACACATACACACATACACAATACAATCTATAGATTTAAATTTTTTTTATTTTTTATTTTATTTTACTTACCTAAATTTTCTTTACTTTGATTATCCTTTCTCCGTGTTTATAGTATTGTTATCCGTGGTGAGAGACCTGGCATCCTATATTACAAGCTTACGCTTAGTTTAGGTACCAGTCTCTTACAAACATAATATAGAATTAATTTAATTATATACATTTTTAAGTGTTACGTGTATAACTGTTATGTTTGGGGAGAAAATAAACATATATTTTATTTATTTTATTTATTTATTTTACACGATTTAACGTTCATGGGGTTTGCGGAGTAGCAAATTAATTTATTTCCATGTTTAATTAATTAATAATCGTTTGTTGATGGTGATTTTAATTGTTCTATTTATTAATAAATGGTAGATAGTTCCTCTTAAAAATGACTGTGACGTCCAATGTCTAAGTTACCATTGCGTTAAAGTTAAGTGTTCATCCCTTAATGCAGTTAAAAATTGTTCACAAAGTATTGAGAAAACGTAAGTTTACTGACCAAAGTTTTGCTAGACAACGTTGTTTGCGTTCAAGTATATACTGTAGATATACAGTCAGTACTCGCCTTTACATACCTAGTATACTGCGTGTACATACAGCAAGAAAAGATTTGAAAAACATTTATATGGAGACAATCTGCAGCAAAGACGGAACAGGCAAGAGCAAACAAAGAGGAGATATCGATTCGACGGCGCACTGCGATCGGAGTAAACCGTTCGTCGAGACGCCGAGATAGTTTTATAGCTGACGTCATCTACGTAGATACCTTTTTAGGGCGTTACCGATAGACCAAACATTATTTTAATTAGAAGTTTCACCAACTGACATGACCAACCATCGCCGGTTTAATTAATCATGAAGTCCCTTCCTGCGGCTCGCTGCGGGCGGACAGCACGACGATATCTATTCTAATTTAACAGGGTAATAATAATCACATATTTTTAGTGTTATTTGTCACTTTAAATTCATCTTACTTGTCAAAGAACCTGGAACATTCTTTTGTTTAAAATAATGTTGGTATTAATAATAGACCACCTGGAGATGGAGATCTGGTGACAAAATCACAGAGTATCTTGTTTAGGCTACAGTCACTTTCGTTGCAACATGTTATCAAATTATTAATAAGTGTTGAATTCTAGGTACGCTGATTGTGTTATTTTTTTTAGTACACCACTACCTTAGACTTGCTGCCGCATCCATCGATATTTCTGAATGGCCCTATGTTTTTTCAACAGATAAAGACATCGGTGAAAAAAAGTAATTTGTCAATTTTTAGAATGTACAATCGCTAAATATAGATTGTAGTGTGATACCACGGACCCCTTATTATATCCACCTCTGTCATTACGCAATCCCAGGAAACGCCCGTACTTTTTCCGATTCCTAAACGAGTTCCAACTACCCAATATTCGCTTTTTTATGTATTAATGCCTGAAATAGTTAAATTTCCCTTTACAAGCTACTTTTCTCACTCTGACAGAATACTCATCGTTCACGTGTGACTTCCAAAGCTCTGCACATTCTGTCGCTCTGAGAGTTTCTCTGAATCTTGCTATTCACATTTCCGTGTATTAATCACGCATTATTTCACCAATTTCATGTTGTCCAAATATTTTGATTCGTTGAAGTGATAGACTGATCAATCTGAGACATTATTTAGGTACGCATGCTCCATCGTCGAAACCATCGTCACTTTCGATCAGGTGAGGTCAAATGCGCACTTAATGTTTCAATTTAAAAAAAATCGCTAATTCTTCTATAATCTATACTTCCGTAAATTATCATCATCATTACCTTCACCTACACATTACATCACTCACTCTACCGTAGTAGACTAGAGAATAATGTACACACACATTATATTCCTTTTGTTAATATATTTACCTGTTACATGCCTAATAATTCTCCACTCGTTTAATTTCATAGCTCCGTACCCTACTCCAAATCCTCCAAATATGACAAGGTCCTTATCAAGAATAAATTCAACCAGGATATGTATTAGTTTTTAATAACAACAGTATGCCGATTTTGTGACTGAGACTCTAGAGTAAGATTATTACAGGATTAGTGATAGGTACATAGATAGAAAAAAGAATTTTTTGCCCAAAAGATAGCTTTTGCAATTATGTGCATCACACATTGAATATGAAAATATATGTGGCTTCAAGTTAAATACCTCGAGACCGCAAAAGAGCTTTCATGGGAGGGTTGACGATCGTTTTGTGATTTTTATTTTTAAAATGGCTAACTAACCAAGGCACCATTTTTATTTTTTGCGGCGACGTGAATTTTCTTTCTTAACCTGTATTTATCATAAGATATATATTACAAGTGGGACATCTTCCCCAATTCACTTCTTCAAATGGTTTGATTTTGTATTAATAGAGTCTGTCTGAGAAGACGAACTTCTGGAAGCGCAGTAAGCATACGTCCCGAAAGTTCTTCACCAGTTCCAGTTCTCCATGCAGGCAGTTCAAGTTTTGTATAAAACGTTGTATACTTTGTGGTCATATTTTCGCACTGGAACCGATAGTTAAAAAGCACATTTTTTGTCTGTTCCTCCTGAAATGGGGACCCCCTGCTGTGGTCCAAGCCCAATCCGTGAAGAGTCACATGCGCAACTTCTTCAGGTAAAGAGCACAGTGGAGAGATCAGTACCACCTGCAACATGACATTTTCATTAGTAAGTATATTGTTCCATTAATAAGTTAAAACTGTTTGATTGACCGCTTCGTTTCAAACACACGGAATTATGTTTATAGACGTTATCTACGCTACGCCCAAGGTGTTATAACTTGTGGCGAAAGCTTTGCACTGTTTAAAAAGTTTGGCGCATAAATAAATAGATAAATGCTTGTTTCGTTGCAAGTTTGATGATGAAAACTATTGTTTTCAAATAAGTTCTCTAAAATAGCGGCAAAATATTATTAACAAATTACATCGTCCTAAATTTGTGACCTTGATCAAATTATATTTTCAGATGTGATGGTCAAGATTATAAAGAAATTGAACAGCATAAATGGTTGTCACTCACCCTTCGGCCTTGTTTCTTAGAGAAAAATCTAAAACAGCAACTCTCCAAAACACCGGAATAGGTGTAAAAGATATAAGTATAGTTTGCGATTCGCCTCAGCTGCTTTGGATCTCGTTCTTTAAATTGTAAACACGATCGCATTTCTAAGAAATCAATACCTTTCTTCACGAGAGTTCTCAACCGGCCTGGATCTGCAGTGTTAAGTACGGAACCTCAATGAAAGTCAGTATTGGATATCGTATCTTATTCCCGGTGGTTCGATTGTTTTCGCGGTACACATTAGGACTGAGTAGCATAGTTGTATGGCTTATTAGACATGTCATCATCATTCTGCCCTTATCTTATTATTTGTGGTTGGCGTAGTGTGATTCCTTCATCCATTTATCTCTACCACCCATGACCTTGTAGTTCAAGGGAACTTCTCGCACACTATATAATCTTTCTTACAAGTTGTGCATCTTTAATCTCCCTCGCCCCTTGTTCCACCCACATTCATATTTAACATCTTTCAAGTTGTTACTCTCATCCCTCTGAATGACATGTCCACACCGCGATAAACGATTACTTGGCAACTTTCCGTCACTGGCGTTTTTTCAAACTTCCTCATATTATATTCGCATTTATATCGTATTTTATTTATTGTGAACACTCTTCACGTCCATCTTAATATTCGCAGTCGTTTTTGTTCCGGTCCATACAACGCGAAAAGTTGTAAGTATGGTTTTGTATATTTTCCTCTTCAGTTAAGGGTCAAACGGAGGTCACAAGTTCTCCCGTGTCTTGTCGCCATTTCATTTAATCCGTTTTAATTTTGTGATTCAAGTCTTGGTCTACCTCCTCACCTCAACATTCTTGGCGAGAGTCAACCGAGGTATTAAAGAAATTTGAGCAAGTTAGTAACATTACACTGCCAAGCGATACGGGCACAAAACCGAAGAGTCCGCCGAAATCGCAGAAAAAACACTGCACTTAGTATTGATTGACTTTCAAAGTCATATTCTTCACTATGCCATAACTATTTTCGACACACGTAGATCCTAGTTCCAATATGAGTCTAACTTTTAAACATGATAATAATAATAATAACGCACACACTCAACATAGCCCCGCACTAGGGAACCGCACTGTGTTGCGGGTGCAATTGACACACACATAGACAACTACAAATTACACCCAAACTCACGACACAAATAAATGTAGAGCATACAAATATTTCTCCCGGCCCGGGAATCGAACCTGGGACCTCAGCGTGGCAGTCCGGCACGGTAGCCGTTCGGCCACGGAGGCAGTTGATGAATGAACATGATTTCATATGGACAAATAAAACGGTTTTATTTTTCGATTGGTCAATTGATGAAAGATTAAAACATTAAACTCTTGCTCATTGTTTTGTTTGTAATAGGTTGCAAAGAAGACGAGCCACCAGGAATAAGATATTTTTGTCACTGTGTATTATTTCAGTTTTAATTGAGATATTTTCAATATTTTGCATCCGAAGTTAGGTTTTGCAGAATGGATTAAGATTAAGATTTAATTAAAATCATACGGTCCAAATTCCAAAGTACAATCACAGTCACATGCGATAATATGTATACAGAATTGAATTTATATTTTCATGGACATCATTAAATAATAGTCCAGGTTAGTAACCATTTAATCAATTAAAAGTGACCAATCGTTCCTGGAGATTAATACATTGTAATCTCGCAATGCGCACATATACCAAAGCATGCAACTACAAGTGTTGGTGGTCACTTTTTGTAATATATTCGGAGTGAAGATGGAAATATGAAATTTAATGAGACTTACTGCTTAAATAAAAATTGTAGACGAAAGGTATAACGCCGTCATTCCATTGGCACGTCCACAGGTTTGGCATCCTGAAGTCTGAAAAAGCTTTACGAATTAAACAATTAAAACTAAATTCTTTATTATTGGTACATTACCATCTTTTATGTGAGACCACTGTCTATATATATTCGGCTAATACGGCTAATATTCGACTCTTGAAAATCGTTCTTTCCATCCGATCGTCAATTCCCAGGCTGCCCAGTGTCACGCAATGTTTCAAATTTGAAACTGTCGTAATCGTGACGTACTTTAGAGGTAAACCGTTAGCGATAAAAAGGTTGTTGTACACCAGACACGCGCATACCTGTTTCGGTATCCGAGCAGTTCATTTTACTTATTACCGAAGACTGTGCACGTTTGTCATTTGTTGTTTGAGTTGAAGGAAAAATATTCATTAACACAATTGTCATTGGTATAAAGTGTCGCCATTGCTTTAATATTACAAAGACAATATGAAAATTATACATAATGCGTATATTTAAGTTATTTCATGACAATATTTCACGTAGTGCTTTTACTGCAATCGGCAATACACATAAATACAGGCAGTTACAAAATTTCCATTATATTAAAACTTGTTGGCTTACTAAGGTGTCCAAGGTACTGCACAACTCCATTCGAAAATAAAAAGTAAACAATAGGAAATGAAACTATTTTTCCGGATTTAAACCCGTTGACTCGACCTTGACCATGGGACCTGTAAAGGGCCCGAAACGTCGGTTTGTTTGAAAAAACAAATATACGCGATTTAAATCCGGAAAAATAGTTTCATTTCCTATGTGTAACAATAGCGAAAACCTAAGAACTCGATAATAAGCAAACAATTTAAACCACATATTCACAACACATAAAATAAATGAAAGAACTAATTCAACAATGCATAAATTTACAATTAGTGCGTGGGAAGGGAGCAAGCTCAGCATGCGCTGTGTAGAGCACACGCGCACTCACAGCACTGATTTCCTGCTTGTCTCCGCTCTTGTGGATAAACAAATGCATAAAACACATGCATAAAATATGAACCCAAATTAAAAGTAATGAAATTTACTATACACACATTAATACCAGCAATGTTTCACACATACACGCACACGCAAAACTATAACTACTAGTTAATAATAAACTAATACTATTTTATACTAAAGGTATGCTTCTTTATTTCTTTTTGTGACTTCAAAAATAAACCTTTGAGCCGCGAAATCAAACACGAAAGGAACAATTTGAAATTATAAACTTACAAAATACTTAGTATTTTGTCTACGTCTTTATCACTGGTGCATAAAAGGCAGCGAATAGCGAATCTGTTCTTTTAAAGTCAAATTTTTATTTTTAGTTAAAGCTGTTCAATATCGTGGACACGTACGTCCCTGCTTATTGTTGTGATTTCTTGTTAATAGGGTGGAATTTTATTAATTCGTGTCACGCAGATTAAAAACTTGAACCTACTCAATATAATACACTATAAGTTTCCGGAATGAATAAGAAAAAAATACTATAAATGGTCAGAAATGAATTTATTGTTTCTCAAAATATTCTCCTTTAGCATTAATGCACTTTTTCATACTAATGAACCAATTTTGAAAACATTTATGCCACTCATCCGTGATTATCTCAGAAACATATTTTTCATACTCTTCGACAGCTTCCCGGCAAACAAATGGTCGTGTACCAATCACTGTTTACAGCACAAAAATTCTGTCTGCCACGTGTCCAGTTTTATTAAAAAAAGATGTAATCATCCGCTTAGAGGCACTTTGCACGCGCACCACTTTGGTTAGTTTCGGCTCATCTCGAAAGACCCATACGCTCGATTGCTGCTTTGTTTTGGGATCGTAACTATAAATCCATATTTCGTCACCTATTACTATATCCTATACCAAATTTGACGCCCCTTCGTTGAATCTGGTAAGCATGGCATTGGCAAATTCGTCACTGAGATTCACACGACCGCGTTTTAAAACTAGATATAAATAGTCGTCTTGCATGGTGCTTCATCGCCAAAAACAGTTTGAAGCAGAGCGAAGCTCCGCTGAGCTGTTCAATTACACTTGAAGTCGTAGAAAATCATACTACCCAAATTTTCACAAGTTATGTCCATGGTGTTGTAGACAACCAATTTCTAAAATGACGCCACAATATAAAAGCAAGTGACAGTCAGATGAAACAAACTGTATTCTACAGCCAAAGAGTTCCATTTTCAAATGTTGTAATTACATTTTAAATATTGTTTGTGCGTTTGTTGTGAGTGGCCAGTTCCGGAAACTTATAGTCCGCCCTATGTGTACCAGATATTCAAAATAATGTACCAGAATTTGAATCAACTGACTTCAAGGTAAGAAATTCACTAACTGTAGGGTAGGGTACTACCCGGAATACTCTTTTTTTATGTAATGAAGGAGGCAAACGAGCAGACGAGCCATTTGATAGGAGGTGGTCATCGTCGCCCATGGACATTTGCAACATCAGATGAGCTGCCTATGCGTTGCCAGCCTTTGAGAGCTTGTCAACACGCTTCTTGAAGAACTCCATGTCATAGCGCAAAGGAAATACCTCAGGAGGAAGATCATTCCACATCTTGCAGGTTCGAGGAAGGAACGAACGAGATGCCCGCGTGGTCTTACAATGCCAGGCATCTAAGATGTGGGGATGGTCTCTACTCCTTTGGCGGGAGGTGCGGTGGTAGAAACGAGACGGTGGCACCAGTTCCTCAGAGCACTCCCCATTATAAAGACGGATCAGGCTAGAACTAGTTTATGAAAGTTACCCAATTTGATTTTACCGGGAATCGAACCCGAGGTCTCTTCATCGGTACAAACCGAAGGGCCAACGAAGTGCCAAATGCAAAAAAAAATTTTTTTTTATTGAATTGATATTCAATTATTTTTTGTGAAATTATTCCACTAGTTTGTTATAATTATTAATACAAAGATCGAACACTCAGAAAAAATTCCTTCGATCCGGCCGGATTCGAACCGACGCCTAGAAAAAAAGTAATTGCACAAAATAACTACAACAGTCATACATTTAATATAATCGCTCTTTAGCGTACCTCAAGTTGTAAAAACTTCGCCCTGTACGAGTATATATGTCGACAGATTGTTTGAAAGTATAAAAATTATCGATCCAATTTATTTTTCAGTGCAATAAATCCAGTTGTAAATCAAAATAACGGTGTTTCGAACAGTTTTAGAGCGGGGTGGGTAATGTATGACGGAATATATTGGGTCGGATAACAGAAGCTTGTTACCAAACACCGTCGATAACGACAGATTGGACAGAATGGAAAACTAAGTTTAATTCAATTGTAGTTATGCGGGCTTGGGACAATGAGTTCAAGTTTTGAAACACTTGCACTGTCTCCCTTACGTCATAAATACAAAAAAGATAAAAAAGCCTGAATGCATACATGCCCGTGGGGGTCGTAAGAGGCGACCGAGGGCGTCACAAGTGTCCATCTGCTTAGCATTGTGGTAGGCTCTGTGCCGACTGGATAGCGACCACAGTACACACGGCGGAAAACCCTCCACAGTGAAACGCTTTTGCGAATCGCGTTCAGGGATCAGTTGGTGTACATCCAGTACATTTGGCCAGACCGGCAAAATGATAGTGACGGAGTGAAGATATTTGTGTTTTCCATCCGTTACTCTCATCTCTGGACTGTATTCGCACTTTCCATCAGGCGCGGTGCAGTCATTTTGTCGAGTCGCAATAAAAAAAAAAAAAAAAAAAAAAATGCATGAAAACTGCTTTCACAGCTACTCTACAAATATTGGTTTCCTATTTGAGGACATTTTTATAAGCTTTTAATGTCACTATTTAAATAACAAAATAATTAGTTTCAAAGTTCTATTTTAAAAGATGTCGGCCAGAGCTGAATCGAAACTGGAACCGCCTTGTAGTGGAACATTGGCTAATTCGGATTCAAAGTCAAAGTCAAAGATTACTTATTCCATAGGTAAAAGAAATTTACACTTGAAAACGTCACATTTAAGCTACTGCTCGTTCACTACGCTGACCTCCCTGAGAAGAACGAGCAAGAAACTCTAGGGATTGCTCTTTTCAAATAAACTTAAATGCTATGGAATACACTTTGAATCAAATTTGTGTGGATTCTGGAGCCATGTCGTCTTTCCATACATCTTCATCTAACACGTAGTCTTCAATTTTGTAATATGATTTTTCGATCAAAATATTTTTAATGTAGTTTTAAACTTAGGAAATGATAAATTTAATATATGCTCCGGAATCTTATTGTAAAAACGTATACAGTTCCCCATAAAAGAGTTGTTTACCTTGGTTAAACGAAATCGGGGTACCATGAGTTTGGACTTAGCTCTAAGGTTAATATTATGGATATCTTCTTACTTATTGAAATTATGTATATTTTTACGGGCATACAAAATATTTGAGTAAATGTACTGTGATGCCACAGCCATGATTCATAATTACACCGAGTCTATTGCATTTCTAAAAGCAACTGTCTAAGAAGCACGTTGTGAAACACATGGTAAACATTTCTCGGTAACATTGGTGTTTTCCCAATAATTATTGCGTTGTACTCATTTTACTTTTTACCGCCGTCCCCCAAAACAATAGCGCTTTTTTCCACGTTCTTTGGGCTCATACACTTGGAAAATGAGACAATATTTTAAAATATAAAAAAATAGTTAATAATGAAAATTTAAACACTCTGTAGTAATTACTTGGTCGCTTGCTTTTTGTTTTTTACTAACGTGAAAAAGTCACTATTACGACTAGTCCAAAATGTGAATATACAATGATATAACAATGTAGTACATCATTCACATGTCATTAAACACTCGGTAAACTGTTTATACAATTACCAAAGTATTAAACAGTTCATCATCTGACTCATGTATTTTCTTATGTTCTTGCATATTTTGCATAAATCGTGTCTGTGTGTAAATTAATGTACAAATTTTGGCATCACCATCATCATGGACAATCCCTTATGTGTTTCACTGCTGGGCACGGGTGGGCACCCGAGAAGGGAGAGTCTCAGGAGAGAGTTTAGGCAATAGTCTGCCACGTTGGCCCAATTTTTCCAAGGAATGTAAACCTTTCTCGACGTACAAGGTTTTACTGTCTCCTTCGCTGATGGCGAGGGTCCAGCTACTAAGCATTCATAAATATACGTAACTTGAAATTAAAGTCGGTTAACGTCGGTAACGGTCGGTTCGGTAACGTCGGTTTGTTTGAAAAAACAAATATACGCGATTTAAATCCGGAAAAATAGTTTCATTTCCTATACGTCACAATCGCGAAAACCTAAGAACTCGATAAACACTATATTATTAATGTTGATACTACAGGCTAAATTAGA